ACAAACGCAACCTGTAAATGTCCAGGTCTAACTACACTGGACTTGACGCTGTCCTTAGAAGATCTTCAGCAACAATGTGCAATAACCAACGAGAAAAAACAGAACACAGATTGGTAACTCGAGAATCCTTTATTCTTGCACCGACAAGGAACCAACAATAAGGTTATTACACACAAAGTCTAAGAATAAATGTCATAAAAATTAATCGTAATAATACTTCTGATAGTATTTCTCCGTCTTCTAACGAACAGCGTACTATGGAACGATGACTGCAGTATCTGTGACTCCCACGAAAATATGGAGTTGGTTTTGAATAAACAACCATGAATTGATCGTTCATTCTTCAACTACATTGACACTCCCTGGCTAAACAGCGATCCATCCCTTTTTTCCATCATGACCAATACACGTTTACCCGTATACCAGTGCGAGAACCCGGAAAACAAAACAAAAACCCAACACACCAAAGGCATACCCACAGCACAATCTCACCCGTCGACGGCGACCTACGCCTTCCAGTTAAAGGCATCCTCGTGATATCTTGCAACACAATCGCCACTTGCTAGAATGACTCCTGCAGAAAGCAACATGACCATATCAGCACTTCATGATACTCTTCACACTTCCTATTATCTATTCAGTACCAATTACCACTGCTACCACTTGTCACTCATTCCGCCTCAGTCCCAGTAACGGTGACGTATGAAAGCCCCAGTCGTCTACACTCTCGCTCCCCGGCGTGTGAGACCACAGCCTAAATCAAAACATTCATTCTCAATCATTGTTTCCACAGCTAATCGTTGTCTACGAGTACATGTCATTTTCAGTACTAGCCTCAGCGGCGTATACGACTCATTTGCTGTCTTTAGCATCAATCAATTCATTCACAGATGTAGAAGACTCGAAACAACTTCAGAAGTAAGCACGACGAAATTTTTAACAAAATTATACAATACAACAAAGTATGAAAACAACAAGTAAACAGAGTGAATCCAAAAACACTAATTTATATGACACAACATACATGTATACAAACAGTACACATAATCTCGCAGATCATGCCTTGATGTAATTCCTTTGAAGAATCGCAAGACTTACACCAGTACGCCTGCAAACCCTCCTAAGTTGGAAAATCGTCAAGTGGTCCATCCTCTGATTCTCGACTCTGAGCATCTTCCAGCAGACACAGTTTCCTAATATCTCGCACCAACATGCAACGACTTGTTCTCACATCGACCGTCCTCACCAACCCATCACCACTACAGGGTGAGCATCGGTGGCACAGTGATTAGGACTCTCGCCGACCACGAACATGGTCCGAGGTCCGATGTCCTGCCGACGCCCACCAGATATCAAAGGTTGGCCTGCAAAATTCGGGCTACTGATATTGCATGCTGAAAATTCCATACATGTACCAAAAATACGGTGTGGAATCAAGCTGTAATCAATTATATCAATAATAATATCAGAGGCCATCTACCTGTGACACATTTATCTGCTACTAAGACTATGTCACCGACCTTGAAGTTTCTGCACAACTTTTCCCACTTGTTTCTTCTTTGCAGTGTTAAAACACCCTCTTTTAACCATTTTTTCCTAAATTAATCTTTCATGTACCTGGCTACTTTCCATCTTTTAATCGTATGTATTCGTTCCGTACTCAAGTCCCCTATGCCAGGGTCACCTCTCAATAACAATAATTTATTTGGAGTCAACACATCGAAATTCTTGACGTCGTCCCTCACGGATAATAGCGGTCGGTCATTTAGTATTCGTTCAGCTTCATATAAAAATGTCTCCCATAGCCCACCTCTGTGGCTGGCATTAGGTGGACTGAAGTGCCGACCCATGTTTCTTTTTAATAAATCCTCATGAACTCTCGTTTGAGGACCTTTGAAATACTCTCTAAGCTCGGTGTGACAGCCAACAAAATTATTCCCCCTGTCACTGAACATCATCCTCGGTGTACCTCGGCGATTCATAAATCTACGTAATGCTAGAACGAATTAATCGATAGTTAACGTATGAACCATCTCAATATGCACAGCTCTCATTTTCAAACAGGTGAATAAACGGCCATATCTTTTGCAAAGGGTTCTGCCTCTCTTCACTACAAAAGGTCCGAACAAATCCACTCCTACATACTCGAATGTATAATTTCCTTCAGAAACTTGCCACGCTGGGAGTGGTGCCATCATCTGCTGTGCTGAGCGAACGTTCCTTAGTTTACATTCCATGCACTTATCAATTATTTTACGGACAGCAGTACCTTTTTTCACTATCCAAAACTTGCATCGAATACATAATAGTACCCGTGAAGAACCCAAATGACCTTCAAGAACATGTTGGTGCCTTATAATGAGATAAGTGACTGGATGGTAGCAAGGTAATAAGGTCGGATGACGGGTCTCATATGACGGTTCTAACATTTGTAGACATTCCACCAACTCAAGCGATCCCTTCAGAAACCTTGTAATCTGCGAAATTGGGGCTATCCTCCTTGGCCATCTCACCCCACGCTTCCCACTGAGTAGCCTTCAAAATCGCCGGCTCTGCATTTCTAATATCTTCAACTCTCAAAGGTCCCACATTCATATTATCGTATCCTGCAAGATGCATGACCTTTAAATACGTAACATATAGTGCCAACCATGCAACAGCCTTCAGTAATTTGTACAAAGAAGAATATTTAAGAAAGTGGATGTAAACCCGAGTGTCTTTCTTGAGTAGATGTTAACCTGACATTTGTCTTAAACTCCAAGACACACTCACTTATTGTTGATTCTTCTTCTGGTTTATCCTGAATTTCCATGGTCGCTGTCCTTTTTGTCTTAATTTGTGGGAAATATTTGCTTACTGTATTAACAAACATAGAAATATTGTCTTCACATCAACGAAATATACAAAGTGTGTGTTGGATGAGTTAATTTTCTTTAAAACGGTATGAGATAAACATGATACGAACCTTCATATATGAGATTATCCGGCATCCATGCATAAAGAATGCAATAAATGAACACAAAATGGCAAGCAGTCGACACGAATATGCATTCAAGCTAGAAATATGTAGAAGTTCGATGGATCGCAAATGGTTTGATTAACACAAACCCAGAATGGCATATTTAGTACAACTTTATTGTTTAAGGCTGCAATGTTCGCACATGCAACCGTTCCTACAGTTAGTATTTGAAACGCAAGGTCGACGGATCCTTATACACAGGTAGTTTGACTTAGAAATTTACCTGTTTCTGAATTTCAAAATTAGAATAGATATTGAAAAGCAACAAATGCAAAACGGTTGCACTTCGAAAAGGAGGTAAAGTCACAAATGCAAAGATAGAGATGATATTTGATTGGTAGGTGGTTACAGTGCTTGTCTTTTGAAATTAACAAACGGCTTCGTGCGAACAGAGGACCCTAATTAGGGAATTAGACCGTCATGCATGCTTTGTCCTAACTAGTATATACTATCTCAAATCCGAGGCTACATGTAGTCTACCGAGCATAACCATCTAGGAAAATGAAAAAATGATAATACCGGTTGGGAAATTAATTCTCTGCAAACCAGTACAAGTCTAAGAAAACAGGAACTCACATCAATGGAAAACCACCAAGCTCGCTAACCTATTGACTTCAACTAGATATATAGTTGACGATCGTTCTGCAGCTCTCTATCCAGCTAAAAGTGTGCTCTGGCTTCACAACAGGCAGCCTCTCAAGGCTGGTTTGCCCTCACCTGACGACTAATCTGCCTCGTCTTCGCTCTCAGCTTATGACGTAGGGATATAATAGTGACTCCTGTTCTCGAATTTATTTAATTATAACGGTGCACGTTGGCATCTTGAAAATCAAAGTGCCTCCAATATGCATACATCGATAGAGTTGAAAATCAAATGACTGAAGTTCAGTTGAATTCATGGATTTCTTAGCTTTCCTACCAAAGTATTTTTACCAAAAAACTAGTAAAACTCTATCACCAGAATCTGCTACATGCTAAACGTAAAACCTCCACTTTTCAGTTTAAAGAGACACCAACATTTTATGTGGAACTCATCTATCCCACACTACAATAAAATGATTTCCTGAGCCACTGCTGACCATAAAATTAAACAAACTCACTAACTAGACGGTAGATGCAGCCAGAGACATTGAAGCCTTTTAATTGGAGATGCTAAATGCACTGATGCGTGACCTATTTGGACAGCTGCACCAACTTCAGCACAGTATCTTTCAGTGTCAACTATACAGTGGCTCCATGAGACTTCTCGTTATTGTTACCGTTTCAGGGGCACTTGAATTAGTTTAGTGCATAGATATGCGTATCACCATCAGCAAAATCCACATAGCCTTTAAAATGGCAATCGAAGGCAGACACTTTGTATTTCCCTCATGCTGAAGTAATGCCGCTGCTATTTCTGAACTGTTTAGCCATTTAGCCTAAATCAATAAGCATTCTGAATTTCAATCCAAACTTAAAGCGGTTCTATTCAATTGTTTGTTTTCCGTTGCAGCGTGTCAGATGGCTAGAATGCATAATCTTTTGATTGTACCCAAACAGTAGGTGATTCTCAGTATTGGATGATGATGCAGTCTCAGACTAGTTCTTCAAAGAAATAGTCCAAAGCTACGAAGTGAAATTTTTATTAGGCATTATTACTCACTATTATTTCGTAGGTGAAAATTGCCAGATAACTTTTGAATCAGAACAGTTGCAGTATGTGTATAACAAATATCCGGATTAAAAATCCTTTTCCAATGGGCTGTCTGGATGGGGATTATTCACGAATAAAAAGAGAATTCGTCAAATAAATATCACATGAGATAACGTATTTTCCATGTTCACGAAAGTTTTATGTTGCATTCTAGGTAACTCGTATTTCGAGTATATTTCAACTTTTGGGGCTCACGGGTGATAAAAATATCAATAACGCCCATGAAGCACATAAAAGCATTCAATGTTTCAGCAACTTTGTCCTGTCAAGGTTATTTCTGCCTCTCAAGGACAAAAAGGTTGAATCTAAGCGTTGCTGGGTAAGTTGTGGTGCACTCTGTTGAAATAGTATGTTCGCTAGATGTCATGTAAGGGAACAGTAATGAATAAACACTAAAATCAAGTGACTCTGGAAAGACCATATCTTATTATTCTAGGTGAAAAGAGGCATTCATTATATAAAAAAGTGTTAATAAGATAAACGTACATACCCAAGCTTACGATAATGCTGAATTATATCTCACTAATTCTGAACTGACTCTGACATTCTATAATGAGTAAATTCTGAAATTGTTTTGAAATGGATTGGTTAAGCCCACAGATTAGAACTAAGTGCTGGTTTTCAACATGACTGACAGTAATGTAGCTCCTTGTGCTTTTTCTAGACATTTTCAGAAGTCATGGAAAATTCCCACTGTAACATATAGAAAATCAAAATAAATGATTCAGAGAAGAAACTTTTTTCAACGAATTTATCATCAAGCTGTTCAATCGTGTATATATATGGTTTTTACGAAGTTATATCCGGTGAGGGAATTAAATTTTAGGGGGCTGGTATCGAACGTTCGCGAGTTGTACGGATTATACTAACGCAAGATCTTATACCAACAACCACTATAGTGTTCGTTCTTCGAGTACCAAATGGTAAAGCAAAAGACCAGATTTTGTCGTCCAAATACGATATATATTTTGGGACCAAATCGCGGGTAGGAATGAATGCTTAGCTAGCTAGTAATCGTGCACGCACGTGACACGACGGAGCACCAAATGGCGGGGATGCTTGACCGTAAGCCTTCAGCTAAACAAGTCGACTTAAACAGTGATGGTCAGCATCCAATGTTGAGTGATGATTGCTGTGGTTAATAATTTTGGGGAATTATTTACCGCTACAGCTCACTCCCCCCCTAGTGGGTTTGTGAGGACCCTAAGACATGACCAGCCGGAAGTAAAAAAATCTCGATGGTTCCCTGATGGGTGAAAAAAATCTTCCAAGCGGCTTGATGGAGAGCCTGCTGGTCTGTCTGCCTATGCTATTAGGGTGTCTGTACATAGCTTCCTCAGTGTTGTTCGTTGGATCCCGTGCTTCGTTTGTTTCCTGTCCAGTGCCCGTTGCACCTGGAAAAGAAAACATGAATGCTGAGAACCTTGTCAAGAAAAATGTACCAAATAAGCGTTTTTTTTTTTTGCCAAAAAAATATGACATGCATCTACTATACAGTAAAATAATGTAAAGTTCAAAATATCGGGAAAAAAAATATACATCTTATATAATTTTATGTACGGTTATAGGAAAAATATCATTTACTTGTGTTAAATGACGCAACATAAAAAAAAATTGATGTGTCACTCAGTTATGTGAGATAGGTGTGAAGGTATTCTGGGAATCTAACGTGACGTCCAGAACGCGTTTTTTTAGAAACATCGACAGAAGTAGCCAGTGGGCGAATGCCCTGACAGTCAATAGTGTGACCCAGAAAATCGAGTGAGTCAACGCCTATTTGACACTTCTGTATATTCATGGTAACACCATGTTGGCGTAACCTTTCAAATGCCAAGTCCAAGTGTCTAAGGTGAGTTTCCTTATCTGGACTGGCAATGAGGCAGTCGTCTAAGTATGCGTATACAAAGTCGAGACCGCGAAATACTTCGTTGATGAAGCGTTGGAATGTTTGTGCCGCATTCCGGAGGCCGAATGGCATACGTAGGAATTCAAAAAGTCCGAAAGGCGTGATGATAGCCGTTTTCGGAATATCTTCCGTTGCCATCGGGATTTGGTTATATGCTTTAACCAAGTCGATTTTGGAGAATATAGATGCTCCAGATAACGTTGCCGTCAAGTCGTGTATGTGAGGCAAAGGGTAGCAATCAGGAGTTGTTTTGGCGTTCACTCGCCGGTAATCACCAGTGGGTCGCCAATCGTTGCTATCCCCTTTCGGTACCATATGCAACGGGGATGCCCATGGACTATTCGATGGCCGAATGATGCCAAGGGTGAGCATATGATCGAATTCGTTTCTGGCAATTCTCAGTTTGTGAGGGGCCAGTCGTCGTGCTTTAGATGTCACGGGCTGTCCTGAGGTTATGATGTGGTGCATAACATTGCTGGTTATGCACGGGAGGTCGTTAGATGGGCAATTCAGTTCCGGATATTTGTCAACAATCGGTTGAAAAGTTGGATCGAGGATTGCTTTCATCTTAACGATTGATAAGCTGGGGCCTACGTAAGTTATGCCTTTGATAGACAAACTAGTAGTGTTGTCAATTAGTCGTTTACGGCGGACGTCTACGAGCAAATCATGATGATTAAGTATGTCCGTGCCAATGATGGGCATTGTGACGTCAGCGATAAGAAAAATCCACCGAATAGGTTTGCGTAAACCTACGTTCAGATAGACGTATTTCCGACCATAGGTTGCAATTGGTTTTCCATTTGCGGCCTGTAGGTTGAAGTTAGGATCCTTCTGTCGATCTGCTGCTGTAGCAGGAAGGACGCTGACTTCGGCGCCTGTGTCGACTAGATATCTAGTCTGGCTCATTACATCATGGATGTAAAGTAAGCGGCTAGTGCCACCGGCGACGGTTGCCGCTAACGCGTGCCGGCGGGATAGTTTCCCACAGACTTGGAGGCTTTGTCGAAATCACAAGGTTTTCGACAACATTTTGCTTCCTTGCCATAGGTGTTGTGATACCAACACCAGTCAGGATTTTTGAGAGAACGTGTGTTGGACTTAGATCGTCCACGTACGTTTAGCCGTTGAGGGGATTTGGAACGACGGTAGGAGGAATTGCTAGGCTTGTTTGACCTAAGCATCTGCTGGACGGAGTTGATTAACTCTATCATTGCCGAATCCTTCTTCGAAGCCTGTTCGGTAACTGAGTATACTTCGGTAACTGGACGTTTCGTTATCTCTAGAATTTTATCTGCAGAGACAGCTAAATCATCTATGAGAACACCCTGAAGTGTCACAAGTACAGTCTGAACTGACTGTGGCAGTTTGGATAGAAATAGTTCTCTAAACAGTCCTTCATCGAACTGACTTTGGCCAATGATCTCTTTCATTCTTGCCAGCATGCTCACGGCTGACTGATCTCCTAACTCGATGTTACGAAATAACTCATCCAGACGTTGTCGATCTGTGAGAACGTTTCTCTTGAGGATGGATGCTTTTAGCAACTCGTACGAGTTACTTACCGACATCTGCAGAGTTACGCACTTGCTGAATTCCCGCGGTAGGGCGTGAATAACTGCAAGGAACTGTGAACGTTGATCAGTTATGCCATGTTCACAAAAATCGGACTCAGCAATCTGAAACCACGTTTCAGCATTATCTGGCCAAAATGGTACTAGCTGAATTGTTTTGGCGGTTGAGCGAATCTGAATAACCTTGGGGCTAGGATCACTCATGACGAAAAGTATGCCGATAACAATATAGTACAAGAATAAACACAAAAAGGAACGAACTCACCGGGTTTATCTGCGTGTGAATTGAAGATGTAGTTCGTGGTCGGGCTCACCAGTTTAGGGGGCTGTATCGAACGTTCGCGAGTTGTACGGATTATACTAACGCAAGATCTTATACCAACAACCACTATAGTGTTCGTTCTTCGAGTACCAAATGGTAAAGCAAAAGACCAGATTTTGTCGTCCAAATACGATATATATTTTGGGACCAAATCGCGGGTAGGAATGAATGCTTAGCTAGCTAGTAATCGTGCACGCACGTGACACGACGGAGCACCAAATGGCGGGGATGCTTGACCGTAAGCCTTCAGCTAAACAAGTCGACTTAAACAGTGATGGTCAGCATCCAATGTTGAGTGATGATTGCTGTGGTTAATAATTTTGGGGAATTATTTACCGCTACAAAATCATAGGTGTGAATGCATAAAATAATAATAATATGAAATGCAATTAAAACTAAAATGTTTGTGATTATAACCGTAGTTAAATGTCAAGTGACAAAATAATTAATGTCATGTATAGATTCAGATTCAGTTGATAAGGATAGAAGGCTCTTGTGGCCTGTGTTAATCCTTGCAAAATATATCTCTGCAGAGATCTAACTTCTCTTTGAAAGCGTTCACCGATGGAGCTGTTACTACTGAATCAGGTAAGGAGTTCCAGTCGTTGACCACTCTGTGAGAGAATCTAAATTCTGCACGTGTTTTAATCGTCCTCGGTTTGAGCACCTTTTTGCGGTGACCCCGTAAATGTATCCTAGAAGGAGAGAAAAGTTTAGAAAGGTCAGTTCCTAAATCAAAATCCTTAAGTATACTGTATGCTAAGATTAAGTCGCCTCTCTTCCTTCAGTATGATAACGGAAAGAGATTTAAATGCTCCATCCTCTTATCATAAGGAAGGTGTGAGATACCACTAACTAATTTCGTTCCTACTCTCTGTACTCTTTCCAGGATATATGCCTCCTTTTTGAAGCATGGACCCGCCGCTTGTACGCAGTATTCTAGATGAGGCCTGACATGTGTTGATTAGAGTATTTGGAACATGCCCTCATCAAATCGTTTGAAAGCCCTACAGAGTGCCCATAGCATTCGAAAAGCCTTGGCTGCAGCTGCATTGCAATTCGCAGTTGTTTTCAAATCATTGCTGACAATGATTCCTAGGTCCTTCTGTTCGTTAACATCAGGTAGTTCTATGTCCCCTAGGGAGTACGACGTATAAGACTTCTGACCTAAGTGCATTACTGCGCTTTTCCTAGAATTCATTTCCAAACTCGACAGGTTCGACGACTCAGCTAATTTATATAGATCAGTTTGTAGGGCCGACCTATCCTCGTTATTATTTACAGTTTTCCATATCTTAATGTCGTCTGCAAATAACAATGAAGATGAAGTAAGAATCCCTGGTAGCTCATTAACATATAATAGGAATAGCAAGGGGCCTAATACAGTTCCCTGAGGCACTCCACTGGATACTGCTTTCCACCCTGATAATACACCGTTAACTCTAACCTTCTGCCTTCTATCCATTAGGTAATCCCTAAACCACTCACATAGGCATTGGTCTAGTCCGAAACCTTTA